CCCAGTGAGCGTTTGTCAAGCCATTAACAAAAAATCTTACTCGTCTGACAACTTATGAAAAACTCGCCAGCCTTAGTGGGATTCGAACCCACGCTAGCAAGAGGAGGCTTTTGTACAGTCAACGCTCTATCCAGCAGAGTTTGGAAGCTCCTGCACCCCCCAAGGGGGTCAAATGAATTATTCAAATCTGCCAAAACCCTCTACTAACTTTTGGACAGAGGATGACCCGAACTCCGGAAAACATTATATTCAGCTGACGTCATGGCTTAGCCCTCATCATTAGAGACAACAATAGATCATGTACAGGGGGCGCAGTATTTATAGGATCCAGCCTCTATGAAACCAAACACCTCTCATAACTGGCAGTCCACGTGTTCTTCGCACGTGTTCTAACTTGTTGTGATAGTCTCTTCGTTGGCCGCATTCATAGCATTAATGGCAGTTATTTCATCCACACCATTTTGGGCACGGCAATCTTTAAAGCCGTTCTCATTCAAAAACCAAATATGAAACAGATGGAAAAAAAAACAGGAGAAGCGGCCATATGAAAATAAAAACTCATTAGTGCAAAAATCCTAACAACGATTTGGCACTGCTCATGCGCGTACAGAGTCTTAATTGATTTTGTCAGTTAAGTAGGTATAAATCGCAACGGAACCCACCCACAGCTCCTATATACGCCAACGTTGCTGAAGAAACCGCTACCGCATGCTCTGGTCACTTTCACTCTGGTAGGTCACCTTGTCTTTGCTAAAGTTTTTTAAATAGATATCTTATTAATGTTTTTACATATTTTATTGCTGCACTATTGGCTTTACTATTGTTTTTAGGTTTATTCTGCGTGTGCGGTCGCGGTAATTTTGAAAAAAGGCCTTCCCACCGCTACTGCTAGTACGATAAGTACTGCTGCTCCCACCGCCCACCGCGAACTAATTCCTCCTAGGGTCGAGAAAGTCCTACGGCGAAGGTGACATGCAATCACGTAGGCGAACCGACTCGTGGGGTCGTTCTCCCACTAAACGCATAAACGTGACCTATAGTGGAGTTTGGCAGCCCTTCGGGATGTCTAAGCAGCTCTTTTTAGGAACAGCACTGCTTACCCTTGTAAGGGGGGAACAGGCTAGAAAACGTGCCCAAAACAAGTGCTGGATCACGACTTCTGCCGGTGAACCGTGGCTGACAGACTGACAAAACCTGTGGTCGAAACATTCAAAATACAAAATGAAATTCTTTCTCGTCGCATCCCCTCCCCCTCCTCTCCTTTTTCAGGGTGTTAGGGTAAGTCACATTACTTTAGCAGCTTGGAATATCCGCTCCCTCTTCGATGACCCGAACAGTAAGACCGGAACGGAGAACAGCGCTTATCGCCCGGGAACTGGCGCGCTTCAAGGTCGACATCGCCGCACTCAGTGAAAGCCGGTTCTCCGACGAAGGCTATGTAGAGGAGGTGGGTGTTGGTTATACCTTTTATCTTGGCTGCCCGAAGGCAGAGCGACGCGAGGCCAGCGTCGCCTTTGCTATCCGAACCGACATCGTGGGATGTCTACCCTGTTTGCCGCAGGACATCAATGATTGCCTGATGAGCCTCCGTCTGCCTCTTCGGGGTGGTAAATTCGCTATCATTGTCAGCGTCTAGGCCCCTCTCCTCTGATGACCAGCTCAGAGGAGATCAAGAACAAGCTCTAAGAGGATGCGCACGCCTTCCTGGCGACCGTGCCGAAGGCGGACAAGTTGAGCGTCCTCGGTGACTTTAACGCTAACGTCGGCACAGACCACACCGTTTGGAGGGGAGTGCTGGGTCCCCACAGTCTCCGCGGTCTCAGTGACA